TTATATAGTATTTTACACATGAAATATTATTAGCCTTATACTAGCACTTACCAGAAGTGATTTTGACGTTTCTTATCTTGTTATTTTCCTTGTTTATGGTGACGGGACTCATATGCATAAGACAAAGCTCGAAGCTGGACTCTAGTAAAATACAGCTGCTATTCGCTGTTCAGAATACTGGTTGACCGTATGATATATTTCCTATCAGAATGGCTGCAGTTAGAGGCACACAACCTATGCACCATTCATAGCGGGGAAGCCTGATCCTGGCATGCACCATACGGATTTATTTCAGAGTAACCAGTTATTTCTAGATCAAGTGGAATTCAGCCAATCAGATTTAGTTAGGTATGGTAGAATTTTGTATAGTTTTTCTTCATTTGTTCTAAATTTCTATGGATAACGTGTGTCAAAATGATTTTGGCGACAAACTTTATGGCAGGTTTTGATTAGCTAATGTCTTAACTATAATAGAAATTTGATTATTTAAATTTCAGGTGGGACTTTTTAGAGGGGACAAAGCCATTAGGACAAAACATAAATGACTAGATCACAGGTTTCCGTGGTAATCTTCACGTATTTTGGGGATGGTTGTGGTGACGCAATGCTGTCATTACTTGAATTCTTCGATTAGTGTATCCTTGCAATGGGTGATTTGTACAAAAAATTTTACTATTGATATGGAATCTATTCCTGAACCCGCCGGTGGATAAGAAAATATTATTCAATCAATTGACTTTGGACTGGCCATTAATCGAAGACGAATAGTGTCGGACGCAAGATGTCCGCCATCCCTTGCTGTTTCCAACCCTCTCCCTCCAAGCGCGGCCTCTCCCGTTCCTGATAGAGTGTACTCATCCTCTGATGTACAAGCAGAAAGGCCTAGTCAGTCCGCAACGGTAGCAGCAGACCATCATTTCTGACCATCTATGGTCAGGTAACGCTGAGGACGAGATATTACAAATATTCTTCTTTGCATGGCTCTCTCACTGACAAATAGCTAGCACTTGAGTGAGTGATCAGGTCTCACCGACACACAACATATAAATGACGCAGTATCTGTTATGAACACCTTAACAGCTTCCTCCAGCATTGACACGTGCATTGAAATGAATGAACGTATGGTCTGACTTATGGTGGTAATTGGTGTTCACATCGGAATGGCACAGAGCTGCTACTCTTGATCATCACCTTGTCGTTGGCACTCTTTCGTTGAAAATGATGGAGTACTATGTGAAGACTTAGTGGCAGACGCAACCAGAAAATATAATGGCAAACACTGCACAAATTGCACAAGGAATGCTAACTGCAACACCATCATATTTCTAATCGTCAACAAAATTTTATATGCTTATTTTTCAGTCTCTTCCCTTATTTCTTTCCGTTTTTTTCTTTCCGTCAAGCAGGCCACTTTCTATTACTTCTAAGTTATATCTCCCTAGTTGTTGTGTTTTCCGCAATGCCTTGTTTTACCAACAATTCTCATTTCAAATCTTTTGTTAATAAGCTTGCCTATCTTTTCCCCATGTATGCATTAATTTAGTAATACGAGTATATGGGCTGATGAGTCTCGACATGGTACAAATATTTGACAGAGGGAGAGAGAATGAAAGAGCCTTGTTGCACAATCTCTGTTTTTTTCAGATTGAGAGATCACGGTTATGAGGATTTAGGCCCGTCTTGCGAATGCTTACTAAGTGGAAGGCAAAACTACCTTTTTATGCCTTGTCGAACCGACCGATCGGAAACCTCAGGGACAGCCAAGATGATTAACCTGGGGTAAATATCTCGAAGGACTATTCTAGAGGCTTTGATTATATTTTACCTCAACTCAAACACTGGTACAGGATCAGCAACGTTGGAGAAATTATCTCTCTGTTTCCGCGAAAGGAAAGGATAAGCGGTCATCGTAGTCGACTGACTGATTTATATGATAATTTAATTTAGAGTAAGACTTGGGCGAAAATTTGCGCATTTATATCGTTCAACTTCAATTACTCTAACCTGCATGAGAATAGGCGACTGAAGAATCAAGACCTGAATTCGATTAGGCGAATCATGAATCACGTGCAACGAAGATGCTCAACACCAACGACGAATCCTTAAGCGATGTTTTTTAATTGGTGGCATGGGAATGTGCCAAACAATGTCCAGCGACATTTTAATTATGTGTATTCTGTATTCTGTGTTTATCACTTTTCTTTATCGGTTCATGGGGATGTCGATGCAGAAATTTCGAAAGTACGGCTGATCGTTTACACGAGTAAGTGAATCGCCAATAGCGTTGGTAGCCAAACTGCAATGCGGCTTTAAATGGTTTAATCATATGCAGCATGAAACAGTCATTTTCTAGGCTTACAGGCCATTGGTTACGTTTCAATGGAACTTAGTTGTGTTTTTAAGGTTAGGCTTATTGCTATGTCCTTACCAATCGAAATAAACTAATTGCTGAGTGTGATATCAGCAAACTGACCTTGTAGAAAACACGGAGGAAACGTTTCTAGTGAAACTAATGATTCGAGATGTATATGATTATTTTGTCTTGTATATGTTTTGCATTATCTGTCTGATAAAGGCTAGAGAAAAGAGCCTTTTAGTTGAGTGTCAAACTGGATCACTGATTTTTCATATTCATTGGCAAAGCACTTTACGTTTCGCTTTGAATGACTGAATAGAACGTGCAGCATGTGTCTAGCTTTTGCATCAGATGTTCAAACTCGATGCTTGTTTCACCAGGTGACATGTTAACAGTGGATGCTTCAGCGGAATTAGGCCTCAAAAGCGTGCATTTAGTAGTCAAGGATGGAAGTGGCGCTAATTTGAGAAGCTGTCGGGGCTTAGAATCAGTTCACAATCTAGTTGCGGTGTTTGGCTACCGTATCATTAAACGGTTCCGCACAAAAGCCGATAATTTTTGCAGGTCGTACGGTAGCAGTTGCGTGCGACAAATGATTGGCTAAAAGCTAGGTGTTACTTGGCCGAGTGGCAGACCGCTGTCGATCGTGATCGAGAACATCGGCGTTGATGCACGGGGATGTGCCAACGACGAGAAATAGGTGTGTCCATACGGCTGGCTCTTTTGCCAACTATCGTCCGTACAACTGCTGCGCGGTCCAAAGAGTTCAGCGTCACACATCAGAGCGACAAACATTTTTGCTGACAGTCGTCAGCCAGAGGATATGGCGCAATCAGGCGGTAATTAGGCGATGTTCGAACGAGGTAATTAAACGAGGCGTGATTGCAAAAGGTAATTAATAGAATCGACCGATCGCCATGGACAGCGTTGCGCCGTAATGGAAGAGGCTTAGCGCGGCAGTGGCGACGACGGCGACGGCGACGACGAGGCATGCCCACGTCTTTTCAGGCTTTCAGACAGCCGCAGAACGACGACGTCTAAGAAAAGCGGCTTTTGATCGAGCACGGATGGATAGCAGCTAATTATGCCCTGAATTTTGCACACATTAAAGCGACTCTTGCAAGACCACCATCGATTTCCGTCCGCTTCATTAACCACCAACGACAAAGGCGACAAGCAGAATCTCACGCACGGTGACGTGTCGCGCTTAAGATATTACTATTATTACTATTCTTCGAGCGGTCATCAGATTTCCGCCGCCGTCGCTTTGTTGTTCTCGACACAATTAACAACAACTACCGTATTTCACAAATGGCCGCCCATTAGCGGCAACCGTGCTCTGATCTTCCAATGCAACACAAACAAGCTGTTTTCCTCTCATCCTGCCCTTTACAATGCTCAACCTGAACAGGCATCGCAATGACCACTGGTTTGGCCGATTCCTTTACCCAATTAATGTGCAATTTCCGTTTGTGGCAGAAACGTCGTTTCCACTAAGTTTTACACTTACTTCATTTTGAGGCTCATCTGTGGGTCACACTGATCGACAGAAGGATAGAGACGTATGCGAAATGGTACCCACTACTTTGACGTACACAGCATGCCAGATCCTTAACCTTGTTTGACTGATTTGCTTAAAACGGATGGAAGTAATTACACCGCCATACCGCAACAATGCACTGACCCTTTGCTTTTAGGAACTAGGTAAGGAAGCCACGGCCCCATGGTACTTAAACGCCTGCTGTCATTTGAAGCATAGACAGCGTCCCAGGGACTGATCACGCTAACTCAGAGTGGTAGTTGTAAAAAATGAATGTATTGCAATCCCGGAACGATTCGAATGGTCAACGGTGAAGATTGAAAACTGGGCACAAAATATACTGGAGAGAAGTCGATTCGCCTTCATGGCGCACCCATAACTGTGATAAGTCAGATTGCAAATTTGCTTAGGGATTCCATGCAAAGCGTGGCGGTGACGAGCGTTTAACTGCTACGTGAAAACATTGTATGTGATAAAAAGAATTTATGAAACGGTTCCGCACAATGAACACAAATATGCATCATCATTCGCTTTTCAATTAAATTTTGCAATCAGTATCAAGGAGCCCATTTTTCTCTTCAAGGCATATTTTTTGTAAGCCGTTTTTCATGACCAAAAATCATATGCATTATTTTGATCATGTTCATAATGTTTCAAATGGTTCTCGTCAAAGCCAGGAATCGCCAAGGACCTATCCCCTCAGATGGCATTAATATTTACTTTATGTATTCACTGATTGGTGCCTGCACAATGCCTGATTGCTCTGAATGTCCATAAATCATCAGTTTGATTAATCCTCTCTATTGCAGGCGAAGTGAAAGATATGATTTTGGGATCAACGTGGGTCAGAGCTTAAATGAAGGGCTGTACGGAAGTAGTTGTGCTACGGCTTGAAGCGTTACAAAAATAATGACCCCGTAAAACAGAAAACTAGGAGGAGCGTTCCTCTCTGAGTCTTTCACTTTTTGATTATGATAAACGCCGACTTTCGTTCAGAATGATGATGACATGAATGTAAAAGTTTTGATAAATTGGATGAGTCAAAACATAAAGTCTTGAGCTTCGGCGTAGAAACGAATATAGTTAGATAATCAGAAGCAGAAATCTCATGCAGGGATGTCAGTCAAGGAAAAAGGATATTTTCCTTCTCAAAGCGCCGTACTGCGTCAACTCTTTTTCGCTATGTGTTCGGTAATTTGAGAAGGAGACAGGAACTGTTCAAACGGAAACGTGGGCGTTAAATGAAGTAAGTTCCTCTGAAAGTTGAAACGGTCAGCAGATAAGGTCAGATAATCTGAAAAACTTGGAAAAAAGATTGATGATGACTTTCGCTTATACCTACAATGTATATTGTGGGAAATATGTATGTAAAAATGTATAAAAGTGCATCACGCTGTTTTCCATGTCCGCTGGACAAACAGCAGCATTACCGAAGGCTAGCTGAAATTAAGCGATGCAATCGGATGTAAAACAACAGTTTTTTGTCTCAAAAACATAACATTCTGTTAGCATATGTAATTATTGTCAGCATGCGGAAAATGGTGTTGTCTTACAAGCATGATTTATGTTCACTCTCCACTGGCATGAATCACCAGCTCAAATTGTTCGCATTTTAAGTTCCAATAGAAAAAATACTTAATTCTGTCTTGCTTTTTCGTA